CTTGTCATCAGTCCTTGGCATGGCATGGTGCCTTATTGACTCAGATCTCAGGAGACACCCAGCCCCTTTCTGCTGTCTGAATCTGGGCATAAAGAAAATGTTAAAATTTACATTCAAGGCTTAAGATATTGGGTTAAAAAAAAATTTTTTTTTTTAATTCTTAAATTATCAAAAATTCCTACTAAAGGACTATATGTCAAGTAGAGCCACCCTTGTCATCAGTCCTTGGCATGGCATGGTGCCTTATTGACTCAGATCTCAGGAGACACCCAGCCCCTTTCTGCTGTCTGAATCTGGGCATAAAGAGGCAGCAGCGATGTTTAAGTTTATTTTCAATCCACAAACAAGTGTGTCTCAACAATTTCAACCTCCTCCCAACCTTTTAAAAAAAATTCAGTGCAACAATTTTGTTTCACTTCATTTCCTTTTCCTGCCCATATACCAGGAAACAAGGGAGCAAGCCATAAAACAACTCCAAGAATAAGCGAGGAAGAAGGAAAGGAAGAGAAGCTAAGAAAATAACAAGATATTCAACTCCTAATGCCAATGATAAATTTCTCACTGATGCGAACACTTCTCTAGCTATTTTACCACCGTAAAGGAAGAGGAAACAGTAACCCTTTAGATAATAGCATAGAAGCAATTTAGGAATTTTAAGAATTAAATAGAACTTAAGAAGACAAAATACAAATAGCAGAAATTCCAACCAAAAAAAAAATTAGAAAGTAAATCCAAAAACAAAACTTTCCCTACTTACCAGAGCTTCTACTGTACTGAGATCTTTGATCTTGTTTCCACTCAGATTGAGGTAGGTGAGGTTTGGACATTTCTCTGCCAGGACTTCCAAGCCTCCGGAAATGCTATTGTTACTAAGTTCTAACTACATATTCAATATGGGAAGAAAACAAAGAATAGTGACGAGGGGATGGATCAGAAAAAAAATATATCAATGACAAACAATGATCATTCCTCTCTCTGGGTTCCTGAGATTGCCACTATGAGTCAATAACTTACAAATTCCCACAAATCATACACTAGAAGCCTTATGCAATGGACTCCCAGCCCAGGATTGGTTCCAGTGGCACAACATTTGGACTGTTCCAGAGACAAACATTTGGTAGACGCTAGTTCCAAATCTGTGTCACAGAGTCCATTGTTCAATGTGTATTTTGTGAAAGCAATCCTAGAGCAGATTCCAAGGTCCTAATGTTTTTCTTATCTCTAGAAACTTAGAATCTTGTGATCAGTTTGACAGAATGGTTTCATTTGGCCAAAAATAAACAAACTAGCCCGTGAGGCTTTCACACCTAAAGCCAACTTACCTTCCGAAGTTTGTTTAAGCTGGGAAGTCGAGCCAGTGAACTTAGTTCCACTTCAGCCATGCTCAGAGATTCTAGTTCTTTAAAAGTGTCATTCAGGCCCTCAATTTCCCCATTGACACACCGACAATTATCAAGGACCAACTCTGTCACCTGTTAGAAGAAACATATTCATGCCACTTTCGTCTGCTGTCTGTTTAGACACAGACCTGGATCCTGACATTTAAGAAATTTGAGTTTTAAAACCAACACCCCTTTTAAAATCACCACACAGATCCTTTTTACTCCTCCCTCCCCCCAAAAAAACACACCCTGGCTAATAGTAATATAGTCAATCTTCCAAATGTTAAACTTCAACTAACAAATGTAATGTCTGCTTCAAACCATGGTGACATAAAGAATAAAACTTTGAAAATGGTCTCAGGGTAAAACCTGTCTCTGACCCTAGTAGTGCTTGAGAATGACCCTCAGCATCGGGGCACATTTTAATGCAGGGAGAGGGGGGAACTGGGCTCTTGGAAAAGGATTCAAGCCAGTTGTGCTAAAAGTTTGCACAGAGAAGAAAGCAAACCGTTTTGGTAGTTTTGTTTTCCTTTCCGTTTTCAGCTCCTCTTTGGTTAATAAATACCGTACCACCAAACTTCAAAACAAAACCTTGTCACCCTTCTGGAATAGCCTGGCTTTTGGGTATTTTTGGTTCTAATCTTGAGGCCAGGCAGTATCACTTAGACCCCAACATCCTTGACAAAAATGTTCTTTTCCCTGCCATCCTGGTATTGTTTTTGTGGCCTTTCCTCCATTCGTGGACCAGGGAGGAAAACTGGATCCTCTGCTAGGTCAAAGTTGTAGCAACAAAACTTCTGGTGTGGGCTCTAACAGACTTAACCTGAGGAGGGAGGGAGGAGGCAGGAGGCCCAGTCTGGTCTCTATGTCCACAGCAAAGTGATGTTTGAAGTCTTGTGAAAGCTACAGATTAGCAACCAGGAATGCCCCCTCCCCTATATGAATGTGACCTGGACATAATTATTTCAGGGAGCAAGAGAAGCAAAATGCTCTCTCACTTAGAGATGAGGAAATTAAGGCTCAGAGGACAGGGATTATTTACCCAGGGTCACACAATTCGTATGTGGCAGAGTCGTGCCTCAATGCCAAGACTTGTGAGGCCCAGTCTAGCTGGGTGGTGGAAGGGCCACTAGATTCGGTTTCAGAAAACCAGTTCTACCACTGAAGTAAATCACATCATTGCTTGGTTTGCTAATTTGGATTCTGGACAATACAATTCAACTTACAAGTTTATCTGAAAGAGAAAGGTAAGTAACAAACATGAGAAATGCTCTGTTAACTGTCAAGATGTTTACAAATTTGAGACCCGTTATTACAGAGCCTTGGGGGTGGGGGTGGGAGGCTGCAAAAGAGGGACTGCTATGAGGGGGTGCCTGCTCCGGTTATGAGGGGCAAGGAAGGCAAATTCATTTCCCCAACCAAGACAGGAAAAAAAGGATTTTAAATGTGTTTCAGAGAAAGAGCTTTTATGTCTGATGTTGCTTTTCCTAAAAAGTAGACCCTAAAAGACATCAAGGGGTTTCTGGATGAGCCAGGGCTGTGTCCTCGTCCTCGGCCCCCCGCCCCCCGCCAGCTTCTGAGAACGATTTTTAAATGATTACCAAACTATCTCGAGTTCCCACTCAGCCCACCAGTCAGGGTCTTGTCCGTCTTCTAGCCCCCACCCGTTTAAAAGTAGGAAATAACAGCTCTCTGGTCTCTTCCAAATCGAGAGCTTATTTCTGGGCCACAGACCCGGCGCCCGCCCCCCAAAGCGGACACCCCGCCTCCCGTGGCCCCCGCCCAGCCGTCTCTTTAACTCGGCGACAGTAGCAAGAGCGCATCACTTCGTTTCGACGAGCCCGTCTGCAAGGCGCAACACGACTCCGACCCGAGGGTGGCGCTGGGCGAGAGCCGCCTCCGGGGGTCGGATTCGGCGCGGCGGCCACCGCGACACCACACGG